ACTAAATGCAGGATTTAGTGTTGTTGTAAGTATGCCTATAGCACTAGTGTTACTAGAAGCATTATCCATAGAAATTGCCATTATTTTATCTCTAATGCAAAAATATCTACAAATATCTGCAACAGTGTTAGCAATAAACTTACCTGTGTGACGTGAATTAATTATTCTATACGCAATAATGCGTTTTTGCATTATCCACTCCTCGTCTATCCAATGACTTGTAACAGTTAGATAATCACAGTCATTATTACTTCTACCAATATCAGTAGTAATAGAAATCCGATTAGTTATATGAGTAAATAAATACCGCAAATATTGTTCATATTCATGTTTATATTTATAAATATCGCTCTTGACTGTTGCGCGAGGCCAACCTTTATAAGTAGGATTAAAAACTTTTCTAATATAATGCACAAAATTAGGGTTAGAAGGAAAAATATATGGTAAGCACATAACGGTAACCATCTTTGCTAATTCTTCACGATCTTTATTAGGATCGTAATATAAAATACCACCGGTCACAGTGTTACTTCCTGGTCGAACTAGATTTGAACCTGTACTAGGGTTAACCGCAGTATCTACACTTGTCCCCTCTTGCTGCGCTTTCATTTGTAAATATTTAACTTTATCTCTAGGGTGTGTTTGTATGTGCCTAGCCAAACTACCCGTACCGCTACGGTCTCCAGTATATTTATGCGCCAGCAATTTCCCACAAGTTTTACACTTAGCCTTATTTTGTTCTCTTACTTGAGTAAAAAAATTCCAAACTATTGATGTTTCTAGGCGTTTAGAAGGTTGTCTATTAAAAGTAGGGGTTTCTACAGGTGGGTCGGGCGGGGCATCAGTTGGGTTATTAACAGGACTAGTAGGTGTATCATCTAAATCCGGTTGGGTTTCATCTACATCCTCATTTTCCTCATCATTTTCTAAGATAGTTTGGTTAGGATAAAGAACATTCATAACTTCTTCATTTAATTGTTCACCTGGTGCAACATTATGGCAAAATTCACTATCGGAAAATTGAAAACAAGGGTTATCACTATCAAGAATAATAGGAGCAGCAGGACGGGTAACAGGTCTGGGTCGGGGAGCCGGGAGAAGGGTAGTAGGTTGGAGACTACTTTCACCAATTTTAGCTTTTCCCTTACCACCAAATATTTTTTTCAAAGAAAATGCCATATTAATTACTATTATGCAAACTAAACACACAAAAATATATTCTTAAAACTTAAGAGTTGGAACGAGTTTACCGAATTGCCAAACAACTTCTTGAAAATTGAAAATCGTTGAAGACTTGAAGACTTGAATACTTCAATTCACCAACTTCACAATTTTTCACGAAATTGCAATAATAAAATAAGCAATTATAGAAGATAAATTAGATATAGATTGAGATAGATTGATGAATTGGTGAGTAAAAATGAAAGAATGAGGGGGTATTCATAGTTGAGAATTGGGAAAAAGTGTAATTATATAAAGTTTGGGGGCCAAATGGCTATTTTTTAAAGTTGCAAACGGTTGAAAATTAAAGGCCAACGGCTAGATTTTAAAAATCTGACGTTGGTCTTTTTAAAAAAAAAATTTTTTTTTTTTTAAAAAGAGCCGTTGGTGCCCGTTAGGTCCGTTAGGCCCGGTTGAACCGGCCCAGGCCCGCCTGCCGGTCCCGGGCTTAGCGGTCCCGGGCTCGAGGGCTTGATGTAAGGAACCGGCCTGCCCCGAGCTTTCTACACCACCAGGGACCGGCCCACCAGGACTGGCCCGCCGGGACTGTTTAGCCCGTTAAGACCGCGGGCCCGATCCGGTCCCAGCCCAGCCCACCATACAGCCTTAGTTTACGGAGCTGTAGTGTTATAGACTGAAATTGTACCCAAAAGGCACCTTTCCAGTTGAAGTTTGGATCCAGATAATCATTTTCGGTCTGCCTCAAGTGTGTAATTAACCTGATTCAATACTAAATTTGAGCAATAATTTTCAGTTTGGTGGCGCGATATTCTACGTGAATCCACATGTTTTATTCAACGTATAGCTTTAATATTTTATCAACTCCTTTAATTTTAAATCCAGGTCGGATATAACTATAACTATACATTAAAGGTGGGAGACCTTACTCAAAATTGTCTATTACTCCCACCTTTACTTATATATATTAGTAATAGTACATATCATTTGGCTCTCCGTCCTCGTAAAGTAACTTTTAGGAATAATAATAATTAATTCTGTTGATGAAGTTACTTTAGAAAAACGGAACACTTATATTGGTTCAAATCGCATCATCCTCCATTTAAAAAAAAATCCAGATATTTAACCCATATAAAAGAATTAGGCTCATGAGAGGGATCATGCTAAAGACATAATTCGAGATTAATCTAATCTTATTCAACCTTAGATGAGAATTAGGACATGCTCTATGGTCACATCACCAAGCCACCCAATAAGAGGCCAGCAGCTGCTCCTGGCTTTCGGACAACTAGAGCATCGACAGATAGAGTGAAGATCGTCCATAAGGAGAAGAGCCAATGCTTGTCGTAGGTAAGAGTTGTATACCCCGGATTCACTGATTCAAGGGTTTTAGATGGGATGGACAGAAGAGTTTGAACGGGTGAGAGACTTTAGGGTTCCATAGGTTCCAAAGGCTAAAAGCCGGAGTAGTTGATCCGAAGGTGTGTCGGCCTCGATTTCCTTTCCATGGCGTCCCGTTCCTCTCCCAGTGGACTACTCAAAAGTGAACAGAGGAGTGGATAGCTAGCGCAAGGAAATGGCCAAGGGATATCCTTTTCCCTGAGGAAAAAGAGGTGGACGGCAAAAAGATCGGGAGTCTTCCTTGGAAGATCTCCAAAGGATGCTTGTAGCTTTAAACCTTCATCGACGCCAACACATTGGCAGAGGGTCAGTAAGAAACTCCTCAATCAAGATGAATGAGACCTTTCATGAAGTCTTAGTTGGACTCTATACCGCTACGCACCTTACGACGATCTAGATGATAAATAACCTACTTACAATGATAATTAGGAAATTGTTTGCTTGGGACTTCTGCAATTTAGTTAAATTTTGTCTTATGTCTGTTTCTTATAGTGATCGTGGGAGCTGAAATTTCTCCGTGTACAGTCGGACCTCTCTATAACTATATCGCTATATAATAGCCATTCACTATAAAAGCCAAGTTTTTATGGAACCAATTTTATACTATGTCATAATATTTATTCTTTATAACAACACTTGGCTATAACATCCAAAAAAATCTGAAAGAAACGAGACTATTATAGAGAGGTTTGACAGTAAAAGTTTAATACTTATCCACTATATATGGGTTAAATGCTTATGTACTGGCTTGTTCAGGAAAAAAAAAAGTAGACAACTTGTTCTAATTTAGGTCACTGTGGAAGTGCTATACAATTGTGTTATGAAAAGCATACTAATGTTGTTTAGAAATTGATTGATGTCTTATTCCAAAACATGAATGATTGGTCTCTATCATTCCATCTCGCATGCTTTAATTTTACTACTTTACATAGTGTTTACAGGCTTAGTGCTTAATGCAATTGATAGCTCAATAACTCTGCAGGTCTCTTTCTCTATTTGTCCACACACAAGACACTCTATTCTGTCTTGCCACTGTTATTATAGATGATCCAAAATTTAAACTTTATTGGTTTCAAATTTTTTAGATTTTTAGCATAGGATCTATTAAAATTTTAAATTCATGGTGGATTTAAACCTATTTTTTCTTGTAATCTTAATGAGTTTTATACATTAATTTATTCTCCACGTCGAAGTACTCGGGCCGGATGAAACCGGTGCCATCTAGGAGACATCCGCCCAAGTGTTGTTGCTAATCCTCTTTTTGTCTTGGTTTGCAAATACATTTAGTTAGGAATTTCACTTTTAGCTATTAAAACATTAATCTCATCCAACTTAAAATCTTAAACTGTTAGAGAGAATATACCTTATTACCTTATATTTTACTTAATTATATCTTTAACACATTCATCACGCACGGATCCGAATCTTTATGTGGTACAAACACGTAAAATTCTATTAAAATAATGGGCGCGGACATTAGACCTATTTACTCTAATGCCTTGTCAACTTGTGTGACCACCACATCAAAAAACTTAAACTGTAAAAAGAAAAATATTTTAATTTATTTAATTATTTTATGTCTTCAACAAAAATGGATGTTTTAGTACAAAACTACCAAGGGACTATGTAGAATGCTAGAAAAATCCCTATGAATATATAATAGTATATGATGTTTTATATATGTGTGTGCGTGCGAGAAAAAAAAAAGTGTTATGTAGGTGCCTCAAATTAAAGGAGGCGATAGTGACTTCATAATTCTAACCATCAAAGTTTGTGGTAGAGTGGTACTTCTCCGTTGATATGAGGTGAATTCTGGTATAAAGTTGTCTTTAGTAAGGAGCATTTATTTCAAAGGGAGATTTTCCGAATTAGTCGGGTCCCAAAACGATGAGAAAAAAGGATAGAATTTTAAGATCACTAGTCTGCCATCCAGCTGAAAAATCTGCCCCAGCAAACATGTCACAGCAGTAAAAAGTCAAAGCGGAAATGTGACTTTTGAATTTCTGCCTTCTTAAATTATGAATTCAGTTATTAATATATAAGCCCAAAATTGAGAATGACATAAAATGTATTAATTTCTACAACCTGAATTTGGCACATTATGCTGCTACATGGAGATTAAAGAGAGGAAGGGGCAGGTACGGCAGCCCGATGCACTAAGCTCCCGCTATTCGGAGAAGGGCCGGACCACAGGGATTTATTGTATACAGTTTTACCCTACATTTCTGTAAAAGGCTGTGCACTAAACTCCCGCTATGCGCGGGATCCAGGGAAAGTCCGGACCACAAGGGTCTATTGTACGCAATCTTACCTTATATTTCTGCAAGAGGCTGTTTCCACGGCTCGAACCCCTGACCTTCTGGTCACATGGCAGCAACTTTACCAGTTACGCTATGGCTCAGGAGGAAGGGACAGGAAGATGAGGGGAAAAAAGAGGTTAAGTTTATATGAAGTTCTGGTCTTGGAAATGAATTTACAGAATCTTGAATTAATTTACTGGATAAAAGGGACACAGTAAATTGAAAGAAAAAAAAAAACATGAACAAGGAGGAAATATAGAAGAATTAAGTGGATAAACTTACAGATGGAAATTAAGTTAATTTGAGCTGGAATACTCAGACAAGAGTTCATCCAATAAATCAGTTCCCAAATCTTCAAATATGAATACAATATTATCTTCCTTATTTACATGTTTATTTTTCCCTTTCTTGATTGAAACAGTACTACTTCTCTTTTTGTGTTTCTCCTTTAAGGCTGCTGCTGGTGACAATCCATTTCTCAAGAAATTACATTCTGTTTCTTGTAGCATTTTACTAACTCTTTCAACAGGGAAATTTAGACAAGTTGATGGACCTCTCATTGACAAAGCAACTTGGTCATAAGCCATTGCTGCTTCTTCTGCACTACTGAATGTTCCAAGCCAAACCCTAATTCCATTTCTTGTTGAATCCCTAATTTCGGCTGCATATTTTCCCCATGGCCTTGTTCTAACACCTATATAGCGTTTCTCGGTTTTCTGGGGCCGTTTTGAACTGAAGTCATTTTCCTTTTCCTTTGAGGAAGTTTCACTCGAAGAAGTATCTTCGAGTGATGTTGATTTAATTTCAACTTTCTCAGCGACGAAAATATTTGAAGCTTGTTTTTCGTCTTGAATCTTCAAATCCATTTTTTTAAAGGAGCTTTATGATATTCTTTGATCTCTTTGTTGTTGATATTTACAAGTATCAAAGAATATGAGTGGAGATACTATATATATATATGTGTCCTTCCATGATTAATTACCAACCTAAAAGGGAAGTGTACCTCTGCAAACTTAATTAAAAGAATTGTTATAATGGGAGAGGCAATTATTGGATTAAACAAGAGAGCAAGTTGGGGGGAAATTATTTGACAAGTTGGGATGATGCGATGGCAAAAGTACAATTAGATTGAGGAGCTTTTGGGGGTATGTTGTCCACAAGCAAGATCATGAAAAAGATTTGTAATTGGTCCATTTTATTAATTGAGAAAAACTTATCGCACTCGATGCATGCACCTCTTCTTCTACAGTTCAACAGTTTAACCTCACAAAAAAAATAAAATTAGAGATAATATAATATATCTAGTTTGTCAAGTGATATTGACTTTTATAGTGGTAGTTTATATGATCGATAATTACACATGAAAGTCAAAATAGTATTAAAATCTTCTTGAAAACTAAAATCATTCTTTATCTAAATGTCACTTCATAAACACCGGAGGTAGGCATAAAATTTAATATATTATGCTAAAAGTTGGTATTTTAGGTAGAAACGAAACAAGAAAAAGAGTTTTCAGCAAACTTTAGCAAAATAATAGCATTATATATTACATGCTCGTACTCTTTAATTAAAACATAATTAACAATACACACACACACACCCCTTGCCATTACATGAAGTGACTCTTCGTGTCCCCAATTTTCATTTCCCCCCCCCCCCCCCCCTAATTATATTTATATTATTTAATAAGAAATGTAAACAGTTAAATGTTCTGCTTAAGCTCCAAACACTGACACTATAGGTCACTGGAAGATTCAATGCTGAAAACAAATATATATGTGTTGAAATTCATTAAAATTGCAACAAATAGTTAATATGATCGTTTTGATTAAAAAATATAATAAATTTTCTGCTAAGTACTTTAAAAACTGAACTATAAAACTTAAATCTTGAATTTACCTATGTATATCACCAATTAATTTTGTCACTATCGAAACAAGAATATTTTGTATTACAGTTGAAACAGTTTATTGTTGTTAAGTGCATGAACCAGATATTCTGTAGTTGTTTTGTGTTCTGTAATATACTCCAATTAAGAAATCTGGGTAAATTAAACATTAAATCAAGTGTGCATATCTTTCTATTTCCGTTATGAGTTTTGACATCTTAATTATTAGTTTGTCCTTTCATTCTCGATCAAAAGTAAGCAAACAATTTAATAATATTATTACAAGGAAACATCTGGGGGACCTCACATCTGGGTTTTGTCTTTTTCCGTCGGCTGGAAACCCCACTTAGATTAAAGTACTAAACATCATTAAAATGGATAAGCTACAATTAGCTTCTGATTTTCTTTTCTTTTTTTCTCGTTGCTATTTTTTATAATGTACTTTTTATATTGAGCAAAAGAGATAATGAGAATTAAAACATCGTAAGCCATGATGACTTTTGATAGTCTTTTATTATATTTTTCCTTTGCATGCTTAGCTGATTTGGCCCTTCCCCGAATCCGTACACAACAGGAGTTTAGTTGATTGGACTGCTTTTTTTTTTGTCAGCCTCATTTTTTTGTTTGAGATCTCCTCCTCATGTTGGTAGTAACATAAAACTCCTGTTAAATCATTCGAGACAGTCACCTACAATAATATGTCTATTTATGTAATATTATAAAGAGACATTCGACTTCACGTGTCTGCTGAGCAGCTACGATTTAGCTTGCTAGACGAGCGAATGAAGGCGCTATAAGCGGTAGTAACTACATTTTCCCCTTCTAATTCTGAGAAATTACTACAGAGTTAAGAGTATCGACTTTATACATTCTCACTTCTTAGGAGGTAATAATTATAATTTGAGAGTTGTACTGAAGTTTATTTATTACGCCAGTATAACATTAAAAGCGTAGTTTACTAATTAATTACACAATCTCCCAGCAAAAGAACGATACAATTGAAAACTTTTTAATAATACAAAGTGTCAGCAATGGTGAGAAGATGAATATTATTTGACGTAGATTAAGGGATTTTGATGTAAAAAAAAAAAAGAAAAAGAGAAGAGGAAAGAAGAAAAAGAAGGAAATGATTTAATTGAATCCCTTAATTGTAATGAGTTGGGAGCCTTTTAAGGAGCAATGTATACAATTTGTAAGAAAAACTAAAAACTTATTAAAAACTAAAAAACATAGAGAACATAGATAAATACGTTTCTATTATAGTATAGCTAGGTAAAAATCCCGTTTTAAAAGACGTTTTTGGGGCGAGCCCTAAGGCGAGGCGCACCAAAAATGCCCCGAGGCGATGGTGGAAGCGATAGTCTCAAGAGGCGCACGCCCCGAATTAGGCGAGCCCCCGGCCGGGCCCTAGGGCGAGGCGCACCAAAAATGCCCCAAGGCGATGGTGGGGGGCGAAAGTCTCAAGATGCATACGCCCTGGGCGTGCTGTGCATACGCCTGAGGGCGCGTTTTTTTTTTACAGTGAGGTGTAAGCCCAAGAGACTTTTTTAAATTAAAGTAAAATTTGCTAAATAAGTCTTTAATAAAATACCCAAATTCTCAAAAGTTATCTTGTAATTACTCAAAAATTTTAAAAAGATACTGAAACATTAAATTTCAAAATAAAGGCCTTTTTTTTATTGCTAGAAGCCCTAATTTATGGTCTTTCTCAATTCTTTATCTTGTCTGCTACTATCTCCCAAAAGCAACAAACAATAATTTTTTTTTTGCAAATACAAAAAAAGTTCCATTCTCCTCCGTAGCAACAAGTTCAAAGTTAAAATTGCAGGTTAGTAATCCTTTTTGTTCTTCTATGTAGAAAACTTTATTCTTTTCAACTCAAGTTACGTGTGCTTGTAAGTAGCGTATAATGAATTATTTTGACTAGTTTTTGTAGGGATGGATCGGAGCGCGCGCGCGCGCGCGCACACACACACACACACACACACACACATATATATATATATATCACTTATTTATATTTTTCTTAAATTTTTATGCAATTTTGGCTATATAAAAATATTTATTGTAATTATTTATTTTATAAAATATTAAAAATTAAATATTCATGGACTTATGCCATGTGCCTCAGGGCTTACGCGTCGCTGAGGCATATGTAAACATATCGCCTTACGCTCACACCTTTTAAAACACTGACGAGCCGCGGGCTAGGATGGGCTAGCAGTTATCTTTTTCAATCTTTTTTTTTTTTGTTGTAAGATTTTTTTAATCTATATTCGAACCAAAAATCTTACAAAATTTATTAATATTTATAATATATGATGATGTGTAAGTAAGTAAAGATTGCAAAGGCATAAAATTTACAAGACAATCTGTCAATATCACATAAAACTTCATAGTACTCGAGAAAGTCCACTTTATTCGCAACAACAAAGGTTTAGCTATTAATAAAATTTTAAAGCTTTCAGTTAAATCTAAGGTGTTACCGTCAATAATCAAAAATAAAAAGTTAGTTCACAAAAAGAAATATTAATCAAACCATGGTGACGATGTGACGACCCAAAGGGGCCATCACCTGTTTTCTTACTCATCCCGCGCTTCCGAGGCCTCGAAAACCTCATTTAGGATTGGCTCGATTTGCATGCGCAGTCCGGGCGCGTAGCCGGAAAGCTTAAATATGAATTCTCTGTGAAAAATGCTAAATTTTGATATTAATATGAATATATTTGACTTCGATCAACATTTTTGGTAAACGGACCCGGACCCGTGATTTGACGGTCCCGGAGGGTCCGTAGAAAAATATGGGACTCGGCCATATGCCCGGAGTCGAATTCCGAGGTCCAGAGCCCCAATAATGAATTTTTCTGTGAAATTATTTTTCTGAAATTACTAAGGAAATCGGAAATGAAATTTGATTAAAAGACTGTGGTATCGGGCTCGTATTTTGGTTCCGACGCCCGGTACAAGTCTTATATATGGTTTAAGCGCTTTCTGTAAAATTTGGTTGAAAACGGACGTCGTTTGACGTGTTTCGGACTTGAAATGGAAATTTGATGCTTTATGAAAATTTCAACGAAAAACATAAGTTTTGAGGCTTGATTCGATGCATATGATGTTATTTTGGCGATTTAATCGCACGGATAAGTCCGTAGGATGTTTTTGAGGTTGTGTGCATAATTGATTTGGAGCTCCGAGGACTCGGGTGAGTTTTGGATAGGTGTCGGATTGCATTTCTCATTCTTTTGAAAATCTGGTATTTCTTAGTCCTGGTGTTTTCGCATTTGCGAAGAAATACTCGCAAATGCGAGTTCGCAAATGCGACTCCCTGATCGCAAATGCGAGGAAAGGGAGGTGCGGTATGGGATCGCAAATGCGAAGGATATCTTCGCAAATGCGAAGGGCTAGGGATCGCAAATGCGAAGGATATCTTCGCAAATGCGAACGTCCCCCTCATGGCCTGGCTTCGCAAATGCGAAGCTGTGCTCGCAATTCCCAAAACTGGGCAGTCGCAAATGCGACTTGCATGGTCGCAAATGCGAACCCTGTATAGTTGGAGGGAGTTCGCAAATGCGAACTAAGGTTCGCAATTCCCAGGTTAGCAGGCCGGGGTTCGCAATTGCGAACCCCAGTTCGCAATTCCCATATCCGAGGCCCATCACCATTCTTTCAAAACCCAAACACCATAGGCGATTTTTCAAGAAAAAACTTCATCCCAAATCAATTGTAAGTCGATTTTTACTCAATTCTTTCAATCTGTAACATCATTTAACATGTTTTCCACTTAAAATCAAGGATTTTCATGGGTGAAATTGGGGTTTTTGGTAGAACCTAGGTTTTCTATAAATTGGGGATTTGGACCTCAATTTGAGGTCCGATTTTAAAACAAATTACATATTTGAGTTCGTGGGGGAATGGCTAACCAGGTTTCGGTTCGAACCTCGGGTTCTGACCACATGGGCCCGGGGACGATTTTGGAATTTTTGGGAAAAAACTTGGGAAATTCATTTTTATGCATTCAAATTGATTCATATAGTGTTTATTAAAGTAATTGAGCAATTTGTGATTAGATTCGAGCGAATTGGAGGTGGAACCGCGGGGTAAAGCGATATTTGAGCATTAAGTGGATTTC